GTAATGGCCTGGTGGTGAACTGCCAAAAGTATATGTTTTCTAGTCGGCTTCTCAGTCGTGAAATTGGAATTTTCGGAGAGCAAATGTTGGCCCTTATTCGGCTAGGATATAATAAACATTGTCGAAAAATTGGGGATAATTCAAATTAGCACCAGTGGGGTGTTTCAGTGTATATATGTCGCTCTAGGGTGCTCACGGATCGGCATGGACATGGCTAGACAGGTATTCGTAAGGGATGACCTTTCTGCGCGAGACGGTCGTTTGACGCCTTGCTTACCTGGTACCTCAGTGTATTCTGAAGCTACATAAAGCTGTCTCAGCGCAGTGACTACATTCCGGTAACTGCTTCGGTCGACAAGAACGCAGTATGCGACCCTTCTCAGGGAACAAAAACCTGGTCATCGTGGCACCTCGCATCCTCACCTTTTTATAATTAACGCTTTACACTCTTGTAGCCAGACGAAGTGTAATCTACTTCTTTTGTGAAAATAAATTGGAATAACTATGAAAAATTCTTGACTTTTGTTTGCACTGTCAGATCTCTTGATATCCCATCAATTCTCTGGGATCGGGTTCCTGGTACGTGTGCTCTTTTGCAAGTAGCTGTAGAAGAGTTTAATGCGAGGACGCAATAGGCTATTACCATATTTATCTTAATGCTTGCTTACTATCGCGCTCTCTTTTCCGCCGTTCATCTCCACTCGTAAGCACCTATTGCACGGTGACATGGTTTTTGTTCTCTGAGTGGGGTTGCATACTCCGTCCTTGCCGTAAAAGTTGTAGACAGCTTGTGTATGCAGCGTGATTTGGACGATAGGGACGGATGCACAGTGTTATAACATGCAGAGACCGTAGCTTTGTGTCAAGTTTGCTACTGTGTCCTACTGATTCACAAACCATCTTGATGGGATTGTGCGGGTGAGTCATGAAGGAATAATGTAGCATTCAAAACAAAACGCGAATAAAGCGCAAATTGTGTTTATTTTCCACGCAGATGCAATGGAAAGTACTCCTTTTTGTCAGTCCTATGGGTGAGAGCTCATGCAACTGCATATGTGGGCCAGTCTAATTTGGGTCGTTCTCCCAATAAAAACAAAGTTGTGGGCGGCAGTGGAATCAGGCAGCAGTCGAGGTGCCTTCGTTTCCCATCTAGAGGAGCACTGCTCAAAATCACTGACAAAGACGCCATAGGAAATGCCAAAAATGCTAATTATCATCTCGCCTGCAAGCTTACCATGACCGACGGAAACTAAATACGCGACAGGAATAAAACACGCGGGCAAACCTCACGCCAGAGTGACCTCTAGCTTGCTGCCTTTGAGAAAATCAAACAACGACCATACTATGAAGACAGACGGTTTCACTTGCCCGCAAGATCGCTAAATGGTATGTGGATATCGCTGCTCACAGTAATACATACTTCTCCAAACAAGGCTGACAGGATGAAGTTGGGATAGGATAAGATGTCTTCCAGAGCCGGCGTCGCAAGAAAGGACGAGACGACGATTTAATCAATAGATGTCTCGGCAGATTTTGAATAATTCATACTGATTCGATCGTGAAAAACTCTGCGCCTCGGTGGGATTCGAACCCACGTCAGCAAGGGAAAGCCCTTGGTACAACCAACGCTCTAGCCACCTGAGCTACGAGGCCCCACCGGTAGACGTGAGTTCAACCACATTTTGGTCAAGTTACCCGCCCAACCTACTGCAACGTCTGGAATCCACGAAATCTGATACTTGGTCCAAATGTGACTAAATTCACGCCCCCTGGTGGGGCTTTGTGGTTCAGGTGGCTAGGGCGTTGACTGTAATAAAGCATTCTTCTTGCTGTCGTGGGTTCGAATGCCACCGAGGCGCCGTTTTTCGCATTTGGATCAATATGGACGATTTAGTCATCGTCGTCATCGCAAATGGCGAGAATAAAAATTTATCTTCCTCCCACATGAATTCAATGACCAACACTTAAGTAAGGTGACCATTTCCAGGCAAGAACTTTGTTGCACCCTTTAGCACTTACGCTTCACAAATGAAAGAGCGGGATTTGGTAAAGAATCAGTTATAAGGGAACCTCCGTCCCCCCGCTTCTGTACCTCTACCTACTGACAAGCCAAGTTGACTGGGTTCACCGCATGTGAATGGTTACCCTGTTGTCGTGAGATTGTAACTGCAACAGACTTCTTCTGTTGAAGACGCTAATCGAGCCAAATATCCTCCAATCAAACATTACTTTCCACATCCGTAACAACGTGGGTGTACCCACGTTCGTTTCGCTGACAACTACTAGCATAGATAATTGTGGGGTGATACCGCTGACAAAGGTGATGCGGGATGCCGAACTTTGGGTTGACTACAACACACTTTTCTCCGATACGGAAATTCGGATGAAATTATAAACACATCTTCAAAACTACACGGTTGTTGAATAAACTCGACCGGAGAAAGCCAACCATCAATAATAATTATCCCATGGACTCGAAAGCAAAATGCAACAAATTTGTCTCGGAGAGGATGATTTTGAAATCAACCTGAGCACACTAGGAAGTGCCGCCTACGATTTCGCCACTAAGACTCTTAAATATAGGCGCCGTAACGTCGGGCTGCTTCGACGAGGGATACTCGTCAAGAAGTAGCAATATGAAAGAGATTCCGAGGGCGCCATGACCACTTCTAACAAAGTCGTTTTCGTCTTGTGCCCGGAAGCTGCAAGACTCATAAATTGAAGAACGGAGGAAATCCAGAAGCAAGCTGATCGAGAGAGAAGAGCAATTTCCTCGAGGTCATCAAGGTGTTCTGCAGCGCATGACCGATCGGGTTCCTGTCTTGCTCAATTTTGGTGGGACATCGTTTCTGCTAGAGAAGCCTCTGGTCCTGGAGCGCTGTCCCGAACAATTTCAAAGCATCTTCAGCCGTCACATTCAGTCTGCAAGAAGGTGATATGCAAACTTCCGCAAAGGAGGGTTGAGGATCAAGACAGTCCACCAGGTCCCAAGTAGAAAAACCCCAACCATAGACCCGATTGCCACGGCATTTAGAAGCGCGTCGGGACTCAGATATGGGAAAGTGATAAACACGTAGCCCACGTAGTCAGAGCAAAACCACCCAGGATACCAGTGTCCAGGGGTCCTTTCGCAGAAGCCTAAGCTGAGAGTGAGACCCCGGCTACCACGACCTTCAGGCCTAGGCCCGAATGGAGAGAAAATGAACGCCAGTTGGGTGGATTGTATACTCTGTACAGAACATCTGACGAAAGGATTGGAAGGAGTTGGAAGTCGGAGGAGGGCATGTCCGACGCCGAAAGAGTGGCGTCCCAACTGTGAGTGAGGGAAAGCGTCAAAGAGCCTTAGGCCAGGGCACGTCTGACTCGGCCTTGAACCTGATTGGCCAAGTGGGCGAACTTCGGGCAGCCCTGGTGCGCGCGTGCAGACACCCGCGAGAGACCCCGCGTTGCGACAGGCGCTCGGAGTAGGGCCATTACAACCTCTCTGCCTCTACACCCGTTGGTCTGAAGCTGGGTTGCGTACCTTGGACCGCCCTTGTTAAGCTGACGCTAATCGCCATATTACTAGACTTTTGTTAAGACGAGCGTCCCGGAGGAGACATCAAATGCTGAACTGATGGAACGGCCTTCAACATACGAAAAATGGACACCAACACAAAAGTCTCTGAAAGTGACATCCGTGAGTTTGTGCTAGTTGATTACATATTTGATGTTGTCACATAATCAGACATGCGAAGGGGCTTGAACATCATCACCTTCGATGGCACAAACTCTGGACTAACCCCATCCACGTGGACAAGTGGTAGCACATCATCCCTGACTATTTGGGGAGCAGACAGGAACTCCGGTCCTTGAAAATGATCATTACCCCGCGGCCGCGGACAAATTCTCTTGTTTCGGCAAAACAATCTCAGGGAGCCTTAAGGCCGATGACCAAGTCGCAGTCTACATCCCCAAAACTAAAGAAGCTTTCTAGTTTACAATCCTCATTCCGTAACCGGTGTGGTAGTTTTCATAGCACCATGGGCGCGCTGATGACTGTGCTGCTCTGTGGCACAGAAACCTGGGCAGTATAAAACAATCAGATGAAGAAGGTACACCATGTTTACCTCAGTCGACTGTGATGCCGAGAAGGGACGGAGAACACCAATGGATGACGTCGACTCACATGATCGGCGCCACTGGAATCGTGCATCAAATCAAATACCGTTGGCTACGCTGCAAGGGTGTTGGATCAACCCCTTCCAGAATCTTTCTTCTACGGCGACAATACTAAAGGCCTAGGGTAAAAGGACGGGCAAACGACATTATGCGGACGCATTCGGATGTACCGGGACCTATCAGGGCTTCTGGAAATCCGTCGCGCAACCTCGGCTGACACCACCGTGAAAAACGGAAGAGAACAGCTAAGAAAAGCCAAAACCGATACCCTGAGGGAGTGCTGTTAGCAATTAACCTTTTCTCATATCCTCGCAATCAAGAAAAATTCTGGGCTCGCAGCGGCCATATGGAACACCGTCGCGTCCACCGAAACAACAACATAAACATTACACAGGAAAATAATTCAAACAGAAATCCAACCCGAGGAACTATGCGACTCGACTCCGAACTTCGTGTATTGACGAACGTGCCAGACCGGCTAGCTTACTCCGACGTTTGTGGCTCCAGTATGCGACAAAATGGCTACAATGTTGAAAACTGGACCGATTTAAAGAGAAATATTGGGGAAGAAAGTCGATTCATTGGTGAACGGACTACGCATGCTCGCCTGAATAATTTTGCGACGAACTCACCTGGCACTGTAACCGGGCTGGACTTACGGATACCTAGGCTGAAAGCCAACGAAAAAAATACAGAATCCTCTGCGGATGAACCAACCTTTGGGAATTGTCTGGGCGCGCAGGCAAAAATCTGCTTCAGAAAGTGCTTTGATATTGAAAAAGTAAAGAATACAAAATGCACGAAGTTGGTAGGGGATAAAGGAGGGGGAGAGGTAACAATCAACAGCCGGAAGAACTGGTTAGGCAGTGATAAACGCCGTCCTTAGCACCGGAACCCTCACGATGAAGTCGCACTGGGATGCAACTGCCTCTGTAATCTCCCTTCGGGAAGGTTACCCGTAACGCGGGTCTGAAGACCGCGGTGGAGTCGGGTAATGCTGGGCCACTGGACTCTGCTTGTTGTTGCAGCTTCTCACCTGCCTCTTTTTCCTCCTAAACACACCAAAAATAGGCAGATGAAAATGTCTTAAATGACCAATACTACCTGATCGCTGGACAGTAGACGACAAACTACTGACGAAAGCCTAAAATGATCGGTCAAGTGGCTCAGCATATCGAAGAAGACAGTCTGGCTGGCGGCCCAATCTTTGCGTGGCAGATAGGGACCAAAACAAGCAGAAATGGAGTCGATGAGAAGAAGGGAGATTGTTGGCGTCCGTTTTAACAAGTCCCTGATACTCCAAAGGCCGAGGATGCACTCAGACACAGTGCGCGCAGACACCACATAAACAGAGTCCAGAATCTAGAATATTCCGAGGGAGAGAGGGGGGAGGTCAAGAGCAGACGCGCCTACCCTGTTGATAATTTCTTCGCGGCAGGAAACCTGGCTGGTCGCCAGATGCCTGTCAATGAAGGTGCCGAACTCCAGCATGGAGAAGGTCGTTTCTGTATCGAGGAGGACACAGGCCTGACCCATGCCACCGAGAGCCGGTGAAAGCGTGCAGCGGCAGATGAGGTCAAAGAGGACTTGGTGGTAGTCTGCGTCGGCGTTAAAAAGAAACTCAACCGAAATACCACCAACCACCGCGTCCTCCTGGAGTTGGCCACGAAAAATCGTAGAAAGAAGACTCTGGGTCTGGAGACGACTGGAGATCTTGGAGAAGATCTTTGGGGAGAGTGGAGGTCAGGTAAGAGAGATGGTGGTGGACTCACCTTCAAACCGCTCTCAGTGGTAAGCGTCATTTTAGGCTTTTATCAGATCCCAGTTGGTGAAGAAGGCACTAAATTCATGAAGAACCCTAAAAATAGGAGGAAAGAGCTCTGGTATTAAAGATCAAAATCAGCAGTGCTTGGCAAAATTTTCTTGTTTGAATAGATGCGGACCCTGAAATGAGGACTGCATGCTGGGGGCATGGTTCTCTGTAATACCAGGGACTCTAGGACACATTTGCATCCACTCCTCCGGCACGCGAGTTCAAGGTTCCAGTATTGTGCGGGCAGTTGGCGAGAAGCATCCATAATGTCATAACACGCGGCAGATGAGTTGGACCAAGGGGGGGGGGGTTACATCGGATTCTGGCAGGCGTTATCGGGAATGCGTACTCATAACAAATACCAACATTTGGGGTGTGGAGGGAGGCTCAGTTGCAGACTCACGCTGCGCCAATTGGGGCCCCGGACACCCTTCCACTTTTGTTGCTGGTCAAAGTCCTGGTCGAGTGTTGTTGTGGACCAAGAGGCGTGGTGTTACGCCTAGGTGCGGGCTTACATCGTGTCAGCCACCTGAGCCCGCTCCCGCCTCCAGTATTCTTGGCTGTCTTGACAGCGGATTCAGGTGGAAGAGAGAGTGTGGTAGGTGCTGTGCAAGTCAACTATCAACATAAACTAATTCACACGCAAGTCACCGTCCCTGCTCTCACCCTGATGTGGGGCACAGGGTGGACGTTGTCAGTCACGACGGTCCAACTGCCATGGCCGGAAACCTCTTCCGAAGATGAATATGCAATCACTGGGACGGCAGTTGTATTAGTCTCATCTTTTGGACTCGTACAGGACCCCAACCCCAGAGTCTGTTAGAGTTCAACAATTAGACAGCCTTGCAGTCTGACAAAGAGAGAGGGGGAAGATTGCACCCGAGGCTGAGCTAGGTTCACGCCATCGGACTCACGGCGCGGCTCTTGGCTGGAAACTGGACAGCTCCATTTGGCCGCGTGAGCATAACGCGTGCGGAGATGGTGTCAGAGTCCCCGACCGCCAACAGTTCTCGCCCAGTCTTATTGACGGCCCGCGCCATTATCCGTGTGCTCGCGATGTCGAATTCGTGGTCCTCCCCCCGGGGGTGGGGTAGTGACTTGAGACAGGTCTGACAAATCGGCACTCAGCCACGCTAACAGTCATGACCTCTGAAGGGACCACGACTGATTATTGGTCGGACCTGCCTATGTCGCGCTCTTTCCCGAATTTCGTTCCACTAGCCACCACCTGCTGATGCGTCGGGTAGCCAGCAGCTTGGCCAGTCGATAAGGCCCCGCGTCTCCCTGAGGTGCGAGCTGCCTGGCGTGTCGATAAATGTAGGATGGTGGAATGTGCCGCAAGTGATAGGGTTTGCAGCGAACCAAGGGGGTGGAGAATCGACGGAAAGACGATCGCTGAGAATGCGTACATGGTATTTCAGCACTGACTGGCAAGTGGTGGACAAGTCTGCCGCGAAAGCAAGGCAGTATAACGAGACGGTAGTCGTTGCCCACGATTATGAACGTAGCTGGCGGAAAGGCAACGTGAGTATACGTAGACGTCAAGGTGTTAACAGGATAATTTAGTACTAATGGGGGCCACGGCTAAAAAGTCTTATCTATATAGTAGGTTACCTAACGCAAGGAACATTAACAGAAATGTGGGAGTACGAGCTTGTTAAGAAATGACTATTCAGGTGGCTTTGCAGTGTTGATTAGCATGCAGTGTCAACAAAGGGTATTTCATTCACACCAGGATGTCCGCTTTCGAATGCGTGTCCTTTGGACCACCTGCAAAAACTGCACTCAGCGAAAAGTGGGCAAATAAGTAGTGCAAATTTTCTTCGTTGATTTTCGATGTCTTGACAAATTAAAGTGTAGATTATTGAGAGCATGTACAATGATACCCTTCCTCATACTCGCTTTGCGGAGACTTACGTCCTTATAAGACTTTCTTGATGAAGGGACATTAAATGTTTCAAAAAAATCAATTCAATGACTATGTGACTGCGAAACCCACCCAAGTAGCAGCCTGTCTCCACGTTCACTGATACTACTTTCGAAATATACTACAGCTCATTGCCTATTGCAGCCTTATGGGCGCTTGACAGCATCCAATCAGGAGCGTGTGATTATCTGTGAACGAGGTGTACGGCGTACAGCTTGGAAAGCTTGAGGACGAATGTAACGGCAGGTGACGTTTGTAATTGTTATGCGAATGAGAAAATTTTTTAAAACCAAGAGATGCTTTTTTTCATGAGAATTTTTCAGAAGGACGCAATCTGCTATAAGAAAGGAGGCTTTTGCGCATTGATGCATTGCTTTGGTTACGAGGGTCTACGGCCCACGTCGGCGATCGCATGGCGGCCAGCAGTCAACAATCGGGAATCGAAGACAGGGACATTAAGATGACCATTTCTGGCGGGTTCACCGTCATTAGTCAACTCCAGCCTCGCCGCGCAAGGCTTGCTTCGCAGGTTTACTTTGAATAATTCATTGTAGGGACAGTGTGCTTACACGGCTGACTACGACGACCCTATCACCGAGGTACGCGGAAATTTGAAGTAGAATACGTCCTACTTCGGATTAGGGGGTCTGGACGAAGCCCTTGGTGACCCCGGTTTCTCTAATTATTTCATGATGAGTTCACTTTTAAACCCCACGCATTTCGGTTAGTGACAGTGGGCGGAAAGCACTGAGAGGTCGAAGCCCCGAGTCACCTAGCATCGGTGTCAATGCCTCTTGGCTTGCTCAAGCACTATATGATTTGGATACTCAAAAGCCAAAGCGAAGTGAATGCCCCCCACCTACCTTGATGCCCGTCCGACGGCGACCCTGGTGAGTAACGTCTCCGGATAAAAAAAGGGTTAAAAGCGACTTATGTAGACATTTATTAAGATCGATTTGTGCACATTTATCACACATGACTAGGAACACACACACACGCACACTAATTGCCGATAAGGTTAAAAGTAAAACACTGGGAAACTGGAGGGCCTAGATCAGAAACCACATGCAGGATCCACTAATGGGCCGAACTCGCAGCTGCAGCACAAAATCGGCGAAATTTGTCTGAGCGTTTAGGTAGTACTTGTGCTAGGTGTACAGTGAGTCAGTCTGCATGCCTATATTGACGGACAACTTACTGGTCGTTTGGCAGCTTTTGAATGGAGTTGGTGAAGTTCGACTTAAGTCTCCATATTACCCTTTGGGACGAACTTGAATGGGCTTGTTCTGAGGACTTGGCTTCACGTTCGCACGCTAATTTCTCAGGAAGTAAGGAAAGTTCATTGTTCGGTATTTCGTCAGCACTCTGCCTCACCAACACTCTTTTCGCGAGTAGTGTATGTGCGCATGCCTGAGGTATTCCTGCATATCACAATCGGCTAAGGTAAATGACTAACTGCATAGTATTCCATTCTGCCTTGAAGCAATATGTTGTCATCGCTATTATGAGTGTGGGCTGATGGCCAGCTGAATGTCAAACTTGTCTTCTGTTGCCTGGTAACTTGTTCCAATCATGTGTTAGTAGGATTCCGAGTAATATACATGCAGACACTCCAAATCATTCATACGTACGAGGCCAACTTCATTCATAGTCCTACTGGGCGAAGTCTACCGGTTGTCAAAGGCAATGGCCACTTCTTTTGGGGTTATAATGACGTATGTATACGTTTTTCGCTGGCACTGATACTCAGCAGCACGTAACATACAATGTTTCTTTCTTTGGTGCCAGAGAGCCGGGTATTGAATATAATGCAGATTACGCCCGTTTCACGTTGTGTAAATTAGTATTGCTGCCTTGGCAGCCGACCGACACTTATCCAGTTGACCTTCTTGTACCAGAGGCATTCACCGCTAAATGAGACATTGGTATTGAATATCCATGACAAAGAGCTGTTTGAACAAGTTCCTACCAATGAAAATGTCCAGGACAATCCTACTGATAGGTAGCATAACGTATGCCAACTGCATACTTTGTAGTCATCTGGCATCGTTTGCTCCTTGTTTGGAGTGGTAATCGCAACAAGCAGTTATAATTAACGCTCAAATGTTTTATTTCTAAGAACATGGTAGGACGTTCACCAAAGAGCAGAATGCATACGGCTGAAAAACCAAGACTTGCCCGAATTAATATTACGCGAAACAAGTGTAGTGGAGGACTTCAACGTCGACTGCCTGGCCTCTCAACTTAAGATGTCTTTTGCAAATTCTCATAAGTGCGCCTGTAAAAGTCAATAGCAAGAAGTGGCCAGACCCTATTCTAGATAACCTGGGACACCGGACATCGGGTAGACGCCGACGAAGCCTCCGGATAACGCTATACAGTTCTACACAAAGTCGATGTGGCAGTGCCTCCAGACGACAACATAAACAACGGCTACATCAGTTCAGAGCCCTGTCCTCGACGTGTACAATTCCGCAATGTAAGCTTATTTAAAGTCCAAAGGATCCACAGATCCTGGTGGTTGTTCTTCAAACTCGGACATCACGGGGTCGAAGCCGTTAAGAAGATAGTTTCTTACAATCGTCTCAAATGCGTCTGAACGGACACCGAGGGAGAGACAATTACGTGCCTAGCTGAGATGGCTTGAGACGAAGGCGCTACCAGGTTCATACGACAGTTCGACCGTCGTTACCGACGATGTCCACCGTGTTTCTCACAACAAGGCGGGCGCAGAGACGGCGACTTGCGCGGAATCTATCGCACACTCTCCTCTTCCTCCTCCACCCAACCAAACTCGGTGTCAAGGAGAAGTCGGGAGGACCGCAGGTGGGACCGAGAACAATGACCAAGAAACCTAGACATCCCATCTACGCGTGCCACACGCACTAGGTAGTCTCCGGGCTATCGCAAGGGCGACTGAGATCTCGCATCGGTCTGACCCTGAGAGGGACCGGGTTAGCCCGTCAGTTGGCAACCTTCCAGGCCACCGTCTGACGTATGCGCTGAAGGGGAGACGGTTACGTGCCTAGCTCTGATGGTTTGATACAAAGACGCTATCCTGT